GCAACGAAGAAAAGCTATTTAAGTTTGGAATGGTGTCATATATTTTCATTTAATAAGCTGTATTATTGATTCGTTGACAAGGGTGGTCTCGTTGGGGCACTATAATATACGTTATTACAAATTGCTTACAGGAAGGTCTAGACGGTGTTTTTATAGGTACTAAATCGCCGATGACTATTATTATGTGTGTGAAAGTGCTTTGTCGGTATCACGTTATCAGTGACAAAAATTATCTTAATTATGAGTTCTTCTTTGCGTTTCGCGACTAGGGGAGGGCGATAAGGCCTTTCCGATCTTGACAATCTATATTACATTTGTAACGATAATCACGATATGTTAGTATCAAAATTTGGCATATCGTTATTACTGCTAAATATAAAAGTATCGATAAAATGTAATCGATAATGCAGTGTAATGAAAATGAAGAAATAGTACCTATATATTTTCATTTCATTTAAAACATTATATTCTAAAATAAATCACTAAACGAAAATATTAAATGCTTTATGGTTTGTGTACTATTCCAAAATAGTTCAGTATAGTAGCAACGTTTCATTTGTGTACAATAAAATTTTATGATGGTTTGAGCCAGTTAACTTCATAGCCGTTCATATCCACCATAAATTGCAATTTTAAAACCGAGCAGATAGAAGACCAGTAGTCCGAGCGATTCTTAGCGCATCTTAGCTACCTTTCCTCTGTCTGAATAAAGTCGACGCCTGCCAAGCCGGTGGGATACTCAGTGGGTGAACAGCTTAATCAACTCCTCGTACTGATATTGTAAAATTATATTGTACATACACAAATGAAACGTTGCTACTATAAACAGTCAAATCTAAATGGCGTTCTTAACTTAATTCCTACAATTTAAACAATACAAAAAAAAAATCTTCTTACACACTACTATAATTAATTTTCCTGATCGGTCATTTCACAAAAATTAAAATTCATCAGTTTTATTCAGCGATAAAAAAACCTCTACATGTTCCTCCGTTCGAGAAGTTCGGAATTCGGTTGTTAGTTACACTCGGTGACATGGAAATTGCAACAGCAATAAGGACCAGCGTTTGGAATAGTGTAGGCTAAGATTGAATTAGCGTCTTGAGTGAGAGAGAGTGATATTCAGTGATGAATCTAGCTTCTGTTTAGGCATGCACGACGGCTGCACGCGGACCGAAGACGAACGACCTGTGCACCGAATTGTGGGAGTTATGGTTTGGGGTTTGGGGTTGTATTATTTATGGGTCTAGATCCTCATTACCTTTTGGTATTCATCTGAAGCACTTTGACATCTTAGCGGCATACAGAGAAATTAGTACAACCCCATGTCCGTCTTTTTCTCCAGCAGATGGTAATCCACTTTCTCAACGGGGTGCCCGTCCTCAGGTCGCAAGAGTTTCTTTAAACTTTTTCCAAGAAGCTAATGTTAACGTGATGCTATGCACAGCTAGATCTCCTGACTTTTCTCCGATAGAGCACTATTGGGATATGATGGGGAGGAGATTGAGGGACCTAAGTAACCCTCTGCAGACAGTTTGAAGTCACGCGGCATGAATTGCAACTTGCTTAGGACACAATACATCAAGAAAACATAAACCATTTACTAGATTTCATGGCATGGCGAGTTAGGGAGAGTATAGACAATAGGGGTGCCCAAACACATTATTAAAGAATTAAGGTCATCCTCTATAGGTTTTTGCTGAAAATTTAATCACTTATTATTACCACCGTTCTGTGTTTCGATAAATTATGTTTCAATGTTTTGTACTTTCCATAATTTGTGTTTCGATAATAATTGGTACGTTCGATGACTTGTAATTTCGATAAAATATATTCTATAAATTTGTTTTCGATAAATTTTTCGTTACCCAGTCAAATATTTCTACCAAGTGTCATTAAAAAAATTGCACCCCTTATTGGTCTTGCAATTTTCATGTCACTGGGTATATTAAAATTTATAACATTCCAACCAGTGCTCAAAACACTAACTGTGCGCACATGTAATAATTTTTTGGCATGTAAGTACAGGGTCAGTCACTAAGCGCGAAGTCAATTCGATGATAAATCACAAGAACAGATTCATCATATTTTTGCAATATTGCAAAATGGTGTTATTATTACTTTTTAATATATGTCCACTGAATTTAAAAAGTGGGCATATACGAGTTTGGTAACGGATAAATATAAATGTTAGTAATTTTTTGTTAAACATCAAAATAATCGCATGTTTTCGAAATGGCTATCTAAAGCAAACTTCGATGTGAGTATCCACTGTCGTTCATTTCTAGACATGACTAGTCGAAATAATATTTTTGTATTAATGTTCTGAGAAAGTGGATGTGGACAGTTTGTGCGTTTCCAGCAACGTGTAGTGAGGCTATCAAACAATGAAGTTTCTGTTGTTTGATGTGACAATGTAAGGTGTTTTTTGGTGTGGACTAAAAACCTAGGGTTTGCAGTGAATGGACAGCTGATGCTTTACACTTTGAATAATACTTTATTATTGCACTATTATGGAATTAATTTTGAACACACATTGGAGGAAATATAAGAATTTGCTACTACATAAGCACTTATATTGAAGTATTATAAACAATTCTAGTTTCTTCGGAACTAATTTCAACAATTTATGGAAAATACATGCATGAAATGAAAATGAATAAAATGTTCCTTTTTATCATAGTAACTTTGAACTTGCTTATTTACTTACTTCGAATCTAAAATACTCATTATTCATTGTTTCAGTGTTTTCGTCCAGCTTTTGATTCTCCCGTGTCTTTCAAACGGGTAGTAAGACTTTTTAAAATAGTAAAACAGTTTCTATGCAAACCTACGAAAAACCTGTTATCTGTTTTTTGGAATCTAAAAATTAGACTTGGTAACTGGAAAAATGGTTCTAACTTTAGCTGTCAGCTCTGTTTGTGTTATTTTGGCTCCATAAGCTTTCTTGAGTTCTTTACACTTAACATTTGATTATTGTATTGTAACCTTTTCCTGCGGCTTCCATAAGGTTCTTGTTACCTGCGACTTACGTAATTATGCTTGTGCCCTTTTGGTAATTACCACAGTCATTGAATTCAATGACAAATTCTTAACACACAACAAATGAGAATATTTGAAATTGCAAAATGACAGGAAGGCAAAGTACAAATGCTTCACGGCTGTGTAGAGAAACTTATCCGTACAAATAATCACTTTTTTGGATGTGTTTGTTTTTTATTTTAACCTTCATATTTATTTCCATATGAACAAAATCAAACAGCTATGTTTTACCTAAAAAAGTAAGTACCAAAGACTGCTATGTAATTGTATTATTCATTGCGTTTTGAATATTTTAGGTGAATGCATGTCGTGATTAATCTGTATAGGAAGAATTTAGATTTATCTTTTTATGCTTAGGATAAAAACTGAAGAAAATTTTCATGTTACTTGTAAACGAATGTTGTTAGTTGATACGATAATACAAACGGTATGAATTTATTTTTTATTAATATATGTATTTTGTTCCTTATTGTTATTATTCATATTTTAAGGAGATGCGGTTTCTAGAAGTTTTGTTTACTATGTTTTTTATCATTATGGTACCATTTTAATCTGCAACGCAATTAATCAACGTAAAATCTAGGTGTGTTTTGTAAAAAATTTATTAGAGTACGAGTTGTACCTTGTAACACTGTAACCACATACAATATACATATATTATATGTGGTTACAGTGTTCGTATAGCATATTATCTAATAATTAACTGTAAAATTACAAGGGGGAAATGTTTGAATTTAAAAAGCATAATATACAGTGGCGGCTCGTGACTGTCTGATGTGGTGAGGCGATGATGGAAGTTTGACAATAATAATATTAATAATAAAATTAATTAAATTAATGTGATTAACGCATATTCCTTGGTCTTAGTAGTTAGTAATGATAGAAGTCTTGCCCGAATACCGGTCATTTCCAAGTCAGTAGTGGGTCCTAATAAAAATAATAATAATAACACCCATAACACATTTAATGAACAATGTTTTTACAAGTCAAAATTTTGTTTAAACTAGCACTTTCTTGGAGGGATTCGGCAATAGTTGTGTTCGTTCCTTTCTAAACGTTTTAGGACCATGAAACTTTTAACGTGTACTTTGGAACTTTCAAGCAACTTTGCACTTCGGATGAAATTCTTTAAATCGTTACATCCCGGAGACGTCGTCCATGTGTTTTTTACATTGCCTAAGAGTAGACACGGCCAACAATATAGACTTTCAGCATAAATATTACGGCTACGGCAGAGCCGTTTATATGTTTCGTACCAGGCTGATTTAAAAGACCTGGAGTACTGACGACTTTGTCGCTTATTAATGGGAGTTAAATGAATTAACGGTTTTGACTGCTCGATATTTAGCAAAATTTACCGACGTTCTAACTCGGTTCGCCGTGAAAACGGCGTTTCAAGAAGCAACATCACAATATCGCAATATCGTACTCGGGATTCATTTTTCACTCACCTGTACCCTGTACCTGTGAAAGAGACAAAAACACGAAACACCAACACTTGGGCTTTTATTCACGTTTATGCTAATTACCCACGCACCCTGCACCCCTACCATTCTGTAAAATAAATGGGAAAATGGTTTAATTAGTACGCCGAAATTGGCCGAGAAGCATCGAAGATATCGCCTCAGTTCCGAGCGAATTCATGTATAGGAGCATAGAGCTGAGTCATGGAAATCCGTGTCTGTGATTGGGCTTCGTTGGTTCAAGTGAACCGACGCTCTGGCTGGTTCAGTTGAAGAACTCGGGGCATAAATCGTACAGTATTCAATGGAAAATGTAAGCAGAAAGCTTAAAAAATAAAAAATCATCTACAGATTTACCATTTCAACATATTTTTGTAACTAAAAATGCATTGAAAGCCTTTTTAATTATAAATTAAGTCAATCTTAAGATATATGCCTCATATGACGAGCCGCCACTGATAATATAGCAAACAGACATAATAATACAGTACTTACTTTCCTGCTTTAATTTTTGGACACTTGCAAGCTAAATCCGATTCAGGGACTAACATTGGCAGAGTACCCTTCCGTATTCGGGAGTTTCGTGATTTTTTATAAATAAATTCTACGCTAATCATAAAACGGATCCATCCTTTGGTATGTTCCTCTTCGTTGTTTTCCATACGTGATAGTACTTTGGCCATAATTGCTAAAATGAAAACACAGTGTGAGTTTCTACAAATTAAGTGATTTCATTACTGATAATATAAAATTGGTTTAATGTGTTTTGGATAGAACTTTTCTGGCTTCTGAAGTACAGTACGATATATTCACCGTTTTCGAAAAATGATAAAAATTTGATTTTGCGAAATCTATTTTTCTAGAATAACCTTTCAGTCAAAATAAGAATATGTATGTCCAAGTAAAGGTAAAAAGTATGCTATGCATTTGTTTCAAGTGAGTTTTTCTATTACAAAATTTTGTGAAGACGTCAACATGACAAGGATAAGTAACTTAAGTTGAATAGGTGCAGTGTAACACTAATAATAACAGTACTGTATTCTCAAATTTTAGGGAAAATGGAGTGAGCCGTGTTTGGTTTGATCAATAAAATAAATTGACTTATTCTTTAATTTTTTTAGTTACTCTGTATAGAAATTAAAAAAAAAAGATTGAAATGATAAGTATACGTAGACTTATTTTATAAAATTTAAATAACATTTACACTATCAACACCTTTGGAGTGACGTCATCATATTATAGGTGGAAATGATTACACAACGTTTGGTTACCGGTTTATTATTCACATGATATTCCTAAAATTAAAAGACGAAGGGCATAGCGTCATGGTTCGACTTTGTCGAAAGTTAATTTCATAATATCCCTTTAAATCCGCCTGAAACACCCGCAATACACTGCGCGACCAAGATTCTCTAATCTGCCAAGTGTCAAGGCGCAGGCGCAGGCGCGGCGGTTGCGAAAAATTGAAATAAATCGCACTAACGGTTCCAGCAAAAAAAAAGAAAAGAGGAAAAATAAACAACTTCCGCCAAAAACTTCATTTTTCTGACAAACTATACGCCGATTTGTAAGTTTCTTCTGGAGTTTTTTTCCCTTCCTGTGAAGGATCTATTCTCGAGAGTTTTTCGCAACGTAAAGTAGCTGTGTGATTTTGTGAGTGCTTATCCCGAGGTCGTAGTAAAAGGTCATTAATTGTACTCAGATACATCGGCGTTTTTCTTTTGCTGGAACCGCCCGCGCCCTAACTATTACTGTTCTCTCTTGCAGAGCCTTTTTCTTTTTTTTCTGTTTTGTTTTTGTCTTGTGTTTTTTGTCTTCTTCTGGAGGCTGACTTTCTTCACCTTTCCTTCTTGTCCCTCGGTGTTGCCACTGAGCTTGACCTGATCTGACCTGACCAGAACATCGTCAAATGAACAATCTGTAAAGGATCAAATAGCGCGAATCCGACGTCGAAGGTCAAACCTAACTTTTCTCTAACGTTGTTTTAAATACCTTATGTTCTGATCTGAGAAAAGCAATAGCGGTGCCTTTGGCTGTTGGAGTATGCTCATTATCTTGTTACCTTTACGCATGGGCGTCCGTCTTCTCTAAGATTTTTGCATCAATTCCCTAATAAAGTCGAGGCAACGATGAAGGCGTACACTCCATTAATGGTGCAGTTTTTTTACCAAGAGTAAATCAGCAATGCCGGGCAAAAATCAGCCTTTGCAGCTGGTATTAAGTTAGTGTTTTGTGGCATTATGTTGGTATTGCTGATAGTAAACCTATGCTTTTGGTTTGTGCATTCCACAGTTCAGTTGTTAGAAGGAAAATTTTGTTGGTAATTAACGATTTCGGCCAAAAAAAGGAACTTGCAGTTTGTTTTTGATTAATTTTACAACTTTTTGAGTGATAGTTGACACTGTATTTTGTTCATGTTGTTGTAGGGTTATTTGTGAGCAGATTTAATTAATGCAGCTGATGATCAAAATAACCTGCCACCGCCGGTCCGCATACTGACGTCTTAACCGCATGCCCACAGACTGTTATACTTTAAGTTAGTGGTAAAACTGTGTTAATTTTTTTGTGAATATCTGGCAGCTTATAAATCATTTTAAAATAGAATTCTTTGAAATTACCTCAACAAATTGTTGGTGGCACGATTAACCAAATTTTGGTTAGCGTTTTATTATCTACATTATATTTCTAATATAGATATAAAATTTGACAACAATTGGTCTGTCTTACAATGGTGGTAGTTCTTTGTTTCACTCAACTTTAATTTTTTTGTACGTTTGAAAATTGTATTTTTTTTATCAACTGAAATTAAAATAAATATCTAAGTGTTGTATATCATTTTTAATATATACACTGCAATTAAAAAAAAATATATATATACATATACATATATGTAAATATATAGATTTGCATGACGTCATGGATGCGTCATATTTGAAATGTACCAAATAAACAAATTAAACTTCCTCTTTTAGAAGTTTAATTTAGTTTATAGAATTGACTATTTCTATTCGTTCTCAAGATATTAGGCCGCGAAATTTTAGGTTCAGAATTTAAAAACAGTGGCCGGCTTTTACAGAAAGTGACTGTCGTGATTTATAAATCACAAAAGAAAAATATGAATGTGTAAATTATATGATTGGATATGTGGGTGTAGTGAGAAAAATGTGCTCTTTTGTGTTGCCTGCATTTTGTTTTCGGATGGGCCAATCGTGATTTTGCAGCTTACAGAAACTTTCTCGGAGTGTCTCAAACTATTGAATATCTTGCTTATATTACCAACAACAACTACCAAAAGCGAACGGTGTTTTTCTAATTTGAAGAGAATAAAGAGATTTTTACGGAATATCATGCTTCAAAAAAGATTTATAGCCTAAATCATGTTGATAGTTGAAAAAGAAAGAATTGAGTTGAAATTGAAGTTGTTTTAAAAAATACAAGGTTTGTTTATAGATTTGTATATATATTGATCCCCCAGTAGAATAGACTACGAGCCGTCACTGTATATTACAAAAATTTGCGGGTGCCCTCCCCCCTGAGAAACGTTTCTAGAGAGCGCCATGTCTTTACGTGAATAATTTATTCTGTTTTGCACTTACTATGTTCTGTAATTCTGATTGCGCAATATTCTCTGGGTTCCTTTTGTTAGTATTTTGCGATTTTTGTATTTTGGTGTTTCACAGTTCAGATAAACGCAGAAAGTTTTGCAATCACTAAGTAGTTGAATTGAATTTATCGTTCTCTCACTTCCTTTTTCTTTTGATTTTTCTTGAAATAATTAATACTACTGCACTGCGTTAGAACTGAGTTTGAGTTGTGCTATACACTCGCATGGTCCAAGTTAGTTTAGATCAAACGTGACTCGAGGTAGGTTGGCAGGGGCATCGGATATCACAGATACGAAAATAAATGGCACCGAAATAAATATTTTTCCTTCTTCTGGGTTGGCCTTTCACCGCGACCACAGCACAGGCACTCAATCAAAATCACTTTAGCTACTCTTTGAAGAATAGATCCATCACAGGAAGACGAAAAAACAACTCTCGAAGAGCTTATCAGTCGACAGTACCTGTTGTTTAAAAACATATTTTTTTTTTCCAAGAAGAAGGTAATCCGTCTCGGGTTTCTCGCAGCAACGCACCTATGCGACGTCTAATACTCGACTAGTTATGCAACCAATTTAACTTGTTCGCGCAGTATGTTGCGAGAGTTTCAAGCGCAGTTAAAGGGATATCATTTTTATGATATTCATTTTCGGCAAAATCAAACCGTGACATTTTATTCTAGAAGTTATGAGACGTCCACAATCATAGGATTAGAGGAGGTACAATTATAAATCCCAACAAGACACAGTAAGAGGATCTGAGCCCAAGCAAAGTTATATCTTCCATTCTTTCAAGTTACAGAGTGACAGCGCCATAGAATGAGGGGGACAGAGATATAATGTGTCATTTTGAGTTGTGTACATTTAGGAACCGGAAATTTTAGAAAGACAGAATATATAGTTATTTTCCTTGGGGTCAAGTAGTGTTTGCGATCATCATTTTACCTCCTCTAATTCTATGTCCAGAAAACGAAACTTATTGAAATGTATATTCCTTTATTTTACTTTGTGTTTTTGTTCTTGACTTTATTGAGAAATTGTAGAAAGTTCAGCTTCAAAAAAGAGAACAAAAATTATAGAAGATATAGTAACAAAATAAAAGATGTTATAGCAAACATCTTTAGCACTTATGACGCCTTTAAATTTTTTTTTTTTTAAGAACCTAAATCTCGTTTGTCATGCGAGTAATGTTGTTTTTATCTTTGAAATATGAAAATGCTACAGTTTGGCTAGTTCTGGATTTAATACGCACTTAATACAAGTATACACTTTATAGTTGTGGAAGTTAAATAATAATACTTGACTTACCATAGTCTCTTTTACAATACTTGTTCAGATTTAATCTCTTGGTGCTGGATTTACATTTACCACAGTGAGCTGAAATCAAAAGAACGTGTAAGTTACATAGTTAAAAAGGTATGGATGTTAAAATCAATTCCATCGTTAGGTAATTTACTTAAAATAACATATGGTTAAGGGCAAAATCGAAGATCAATAACATCAATAATAAGTTGAATACAAAATTGCATAACAATAACAACATTCATTTTCACAAATAAATATATAACTAATAGGAAACAACAAAAATATTAGGATCTGTAAAATTTTCCTATTAATTATTATACTTTGAAAATCTTGCCTTGACTACATTGAAGGTATGTATTTTCTCTCAGTATAGATCACTGTTTTCCATTCAGTAGACATCTATGTAATGCAAACAATGATCTTGTTTTAAAAAATATTGCACTGACGCCAAATTGTCCTTCACCCACAAAAAATTACAACCATCAGGACAATAAACGGAGAAACGTTAAGGGATCGAAACGAAAACCTACTAGACATCCAGATTTTTGGGGGAAAAATCAAATTTTCAATCAGTATTTTCCACTTTATCTTTAAAATTGCAGAAACCGAATTCTGTGAAATCATGCAAATATTTGAAGGCCATGGGAAATTCTTAATAAAAATTTTACAGTTCTGCCGAATAAATAAATAAAAAAACTGACTGTGGTTAATTAATTAATTAGTTCTCTCCTCTGCGTCGAGGCGATAAAATCAAAGTTCATTTTCTTTGAAGAGCTAATGCTTGTAATCTGAACGTGGTAATTGTCGCATTTTTCGAAGTATAAACATAATCAGTCCAAGCTAAACATGTATTGAGAAATTGAGAATATCGACCATTTTTCCGCTGGCTGCTTTAAATGTATTTCATTCATATTCCCGCATTTATTTTGTGATCAGACTGATTATATGTTAAAATAGTTACAAATGACAGTGGAAGTTTAATTACTGTGCTGAAATGCCGAATGTTAACGAAATTTTTTTAATAAGATTTTGTAGTGATATCATCACCTTTTTAATGGACACAAAAGTATATTAACTTTTATACTAATAACAGTATTACCCGAAGTTCGGGATAATTAGATACGCCTTTTTGAATAAAAACATATTTCATCCATGAATTTTGAGATATTTTGTATAAGTAAGTTAACGAAGCAGAAATACACTGACCGGAAAAAAAACCGGCTACCCTGAAATATTTGCACTGTTTCTGTCACTTTCTTAAATTGAATTTAATTATGTATATATTTTCTCTTTTTTTAGTTGATTTGTACATCCTGTGCCAACAGTGAATGGTTTTTTAATAAAATAACAATCACTATTTAAATCAACAATTTTTAACGTGATTTTGCGAAATATTTTGGGGCCTATTTTGCTCTATATTTTTAAAAAGTGTTTGATATAACGTCATTAATTTTATGGATGGGAAGAATCACTAAATTTAAAAAATAAACAGCTTGATGGAACTGCAGAATGTAATATCCAGAGACAAGCAAACCAAATTATTTAAAATATTGACATTTATTTTGACAAATAGGATTTTTTAAAGTATTTTTTTTATTCTAACAATATTTTCTGACTTAAAAATCCTCTCCATTAAAATGTTACGGATGAGTGCTATACAAGCAATTATTTCCTGTCGATTAAAAGCAACCCTCATTTCCAGCAACTTAATCCATTAAAAACTTCGCTTCCGTTTATTACTTTATTGTGTGGTAAAATTAATTATTGAAAGCCCAAATAAAAATTAACGTTACGAAAATCTGATTTAGATTTGCTTAAATTAATTTTGACTTAAAATGTCATACATAACTGATTGATACCTTAATAATCCTAAAAATCTATTTTCCACCAGAAAACTTTTAATTTATAATATGGCATCATCGAATTTGTAGCATAAATAACAGTTTTCGTTTCTAGTTTTACAGGTTTTTTCTTTCAGCAAATGACTAAGGTAAGTTGTCGCATGTAACGTCAATATTTCAGTCACGGATATAATTTTATGAAAATTTGATGATAGACAGTCTCTGACAATATATTATAATATAGACAGTAAATACCTTTTATATGCAAATGCAATACTTAATTAATAGATGTTATAACTGTGTAGACATTAATATTATCAAAGTTAGAAAGTTCTAAAATGATATACAACAATATTTGACACAAAATAAATCTAACAACGCCAATAAAATTATTATTTATCGTAGATACACATAAAAAAATAAGTGATACATGCTAAATCTCAGTACATTATAGTGCCAGTAAATGAAATTTTGACTTTTTAGCTTGAAAATATATATGTACATATATATTTCAGTAGATATTTTGGTTTAAAAATTCATGGAAGGTAAGAAAACCCTACAAGTGAAGAAAATTCGAAAAACTGCTTTTATATTTAGTTTATCATAAGATAAGTTTCTCCGATCTTTTTAAAGATAATATTCAATTACTCGCTTTTCGCAGTTGTACCAAATAAGTAAGAATTAAATGCCTTTGGAAAATATGAAAAACCATTATTTATTAATTTTAAACCAAACAATGTGGTTTTCTCTACAGACCAAAAACAAACATTCCCTGTTATTTGAGTCTCCATGGTATGAGTGTTTTACTTTGAGGATAAACCTTAAATTGGTTAAATAATTGAAAGTGGTTTTTGAATTTTTGTCACTTATCGGGTTTTCGTTCTATACCTGCGATATATTCGCATGCTCTATCGTATTACGAGTGTTGTTCAAAAGCTTGACATTTTGTAATAATAAGCACCATCTGTAGTTTTAACAACTCGCAAAGTTTTGTACATTCATATGCGGAACGAATGTTCTAGTTGTGCAAGACAGCTAACTAGGGTACGACTTAATAATTTAGTAGAAATATTTTAAGTATTTATAAATAATTATGCATAGAACGTCGAGATAGTCTGTTTTATAAAGTGTACCTTGCAATTATTATTCCGGTACTGTAAATTTGAAATTACGCTGGTTGATGACCCTATAACAGAACAATTGCATTAACACTTAGGTACTCGTTTTCAAACATTATGTCCATGTAGTACCGGTGATCATATATGTATACTATGAAAATGTTTTTTATTATTTTATTTCTTACATAAATACTGAGTTCGAAAGATATGCATGATAACGTCATTAATTTGATGGTTGAAACATGATTGAGAAAATGTAGACCTCTTTTTGTCTGTATATTTTTTTTATCGGCAATTTTATTAGACAGACAACCCCCGAAATTATTAAATTACGATTATTGTGAAGTTTTACGTCCTCTTAAAGATTATCGTGTAAACCGTCAAACGCTAACCAAAACTGGTCTTTTTATCCTCGCGCTCAAATTTGATGCTATCTACAAATTTTGCTAAAATGCTTGAAATTTATATTCTCACATGCTCATTTATCTGTATCATGTGTGTAATGTTTAACCCTATGGATACGGATGAACAAAATTTAAAAAAAAAAAGAGAATCACGAGGAATACTGCTTTACAATTGGTCCTTCTTCGTAGCAGTAAGACACATTCATTAGTGGCTGTTTAACACTGGACTAAATTTAGTATTAACATATTAAAACTCAATTTTCATATCTAAAACTTGCACTAAAATATGCTTCGTGTTTGTTACGTTTCATGTAAAGTAGGGTTGATCTACTAGAATTGTTTTAACGTGTACTTGTGTATTAAATTATAAAACAATTAAGCATTAAATTGAAACTATTATGGATGAAAACGGAACATAACTGGTAGAAGCGACTGCAAGTACAATATGTATGATTTACATTACGGTAAAAGTAAAATTATGAAACTAATAATAGACAAAAACAGAAATATGTGTTAGAAAATGGATAAACCGCAGGCTCGAAGGAAAGAGAATTTTGAACATATTGAATAACCAATTACTAGAGAAAGATTCTTCGTTCAAATGAGATTGTATATAAGAAAACAGATCTATTTTTAATTTTTTGTATACAGCTAAAGCAAAGAGATCTGCGTGTATCGTATACAATTTAGTATGAAAATTAGTCCCATGTCAAACAGCTGTTAATGATTATTCAACAGCCATTTCATATGAAACTTTCTCAAATCCAAAATTTTAAAAGTTCTGGTATTAAGATGATATATGCTTTAACATGGACTTTAGGCTCCATATTTAGGAATTTTCAATGATATACTAATTCTTTTCTCACGATAATGTAACAGAACATAATGTATGTACATTATAAGTCAAGAATCAACGTTGTTGTGAAAAATATTACCTAAAATTAAAATGCCACGGCTTTTGCTTTTCTTTTCGTTTGACAGATTTTTACTGCAGGGCACGTTACCAAGAATGTTTACTTGTGATTTGGGCAGATAAATTTGTTAATGCCAATTTCGTGCAAGTTGTCCCGTCCGTAACCCTTCGAGATTTTAATTTTGTTATATTTTACCGATTTTATATTTGATATTTGTTACATAAATGAATACTTAGTAATCATAAAAATATAAATAAAAAATAATATTTTTTTTAAAAACAAAAATACGAGAAAAGAACAGCCAAAATGCGTAAATTTCGGGAAAAATTAAATGAAAACGTTGATAAAAAAATATACCTCAAGAAAGAGGTCATACGGAAGCGCAAAGAAAGGGCTGCTCTCAAGGACCGCTAGAGACTAGAAAGTACGAGACTTAAAGAACTTGGACGAAAAAAAATACCGGGCAAAAGTGAAAGAAATACAAAAAAATACTTGAAAATTTGCGTCCTTATAAGTGTGCCCAAACATTGGGAAACGCTTTGAAAAAGTGGAAAATGCAATTCCTAAAAGAACTTGTTCTACGGAATCTTATTTTTATCTGTGCAAAAAGTAGGGTACCTCATGTGAATATTTTGTATATTGCAAATAATACTATTGAAGAGAACAGAGAAATGCTGGAAGAAAAGTGGCAGCAAGTTTCCAACATCAAACAAATTCAAAGCCAGCATTTTTTTTTAACTAAATACGTCTGAACTCTTGGTTGGACGTACACATCGTTCAGAATCGTTTGTTTGTTAAAATGAAGACGGATTCATAAGCCACAAAAGTATGTTATTTTATAAAATTTAAATAGCATTTACCACGCAAAATTTTGAGGTGAAGTCATTACATTGATAGTGGGGATGATTAGGCAAATTTTGGTAAGCGTTTTACCATCGATATTCATCGAGATTCTTAATATACCTATAAAATTTTACAACAATCTGTCCAATAGTCTCGGAGATTATCTATCTGGTAAAAATCTACGTACACAACTTCATACTCTACCGATCATGAAACGTCGAGAAAACATAAAATTAGCCGTTCGCGCAATGGACCTCATTATAATACTTCTTTAGCTCATGTTAGGGAAATAAAAAAGCATCCGAATTTAGCACATTTTTTGTTTTGTTTTATGCTTTCCTTCTAGGTTCCACTCAAGTACATGTCTTTTCAACCAACAATTTAGCGACTGTTTCGTTTCGCGACTTTTTAGATTTTTCTCTCTTTTTTGATATGTTTTTGCCTTCGATTATATAATTGTAAGGATACCGTTCTTGCCATTCTTATATTTCATTTTAAGATTTTGTTTTCCTTTGACCACACCTTACATCTTTATAGATCTCAATTTCTATAGGTGTATGATTCGATGAGATAGAAATATTAGCAAAATTAGTAGAAGTTTTTAGTTTGGCAGCAGACTGTAAGAAGGGATTAACATCTGCAGCTTTATGGGACGTCGACGTTTTTCATTCGTAAGATCAAATTTCCCCAACCTGATAACGTTTACCGGAACAATCACAGCTGCAAGGATTTGAGGAACTGTTCTCATATCCAGGTCCAGTTGAACTTTATTTGCCCACACTTTTTGCTCTTTACTACCATAAATTATTATAAATTACTTTTGCGCTTTTCTTCTGCACAATTTTTCCAATTACCCTCAGAGGGGCAGGTGAATTAACAGTGACTTGGCTGCGAAATGAAATCTGGAAAGCTTTGATGTCATTTTGAAGTTGTACCATAACCGTTTTTAAGCGATTTATATCATCACCCAGCTTAGTACAAGTTTCACATCTCCATGTCAAACCAGACTTTATATGAATTTTTCGATCCTCGGCTGCAGATATACTGACAATTGACACAGTCAATCTTGTAGGTGTTTCCACAAATGCGGCAATTAACAGTTTTGTACGGTTCAGCAGCTGTTCCACAACAATGACAATAAATTAACAAGCTCATTTTAATTGCAATAAGGAGGTGAAAAAAATTGCGGGGCCGGTCACAGCGGCTTATATACAGACATACAAGGGTAAGATGGCAACGGCAGGGGCCAGCAACAGAGCACAAAGGGAAAAAATTAGAGAATTACAGTAATTCCGAAACGTAATTAACCAGAATATTGATTTAAAAAGTGTAAATGCTATGAGCAAAAGAACTACTCACCAAAAATGAAAGAATTCGCAAAAGATAAGTAGTAACACTATATCAGGAATGTACGCAGTTGCTAGTTATTGCAAAGATGCACTGATTAATTCACAATACGTAATAAATTTTGCACTATACACTGATATAAATATCACCTAATTTACTTTAGAACTTAGTAAAATCTTAAGGTATTTCACAGACGTGAAGTGTAGGTACGTGTCCAACACATGAAACTATCATTTGGCTATTATCACTTTGTTATGATGGCAACTTTTATTTAGTTTGACTTCACTTTTGAGGATTAAAAGTGGTATTGTTACTTTAAATGAAAAGTACAGTACAGTGTAACAAAAAGACGTAAAAAAAAATACAACAGAAAGGATTTTAATAAACTCATTTTAAAACTTACGAAAGATAATTTTCACTAACCTGCCATTGAATCTGCGTCTGTGTCATCTTCGCTGTTTTCATTTTCTTCTTCAGTGGCCATAATTTGTACAACGGGAATCTCTAAAAATAAAAATATGGAAGTTACAATAGAAATGTAAGTGCTTCAGAATCTTCAGTATCTTTATCATTGCAAAGCGTTTGAACATGAACCCTACCATAACAACCGGTTTCTAATAAAAATCTGGTCTAGAGGGCTGCGCGATATTTTACTGTTTTTTCCGTATGTCGTAGTCAATTTGGAGGTTATTAATTCTCAATAGTCGATGTGATAAGTAGATGACACTTTTCAACATCCATTTTGGAAACGACCATGGCCAACTCAATCTAGGCCCGAGTGATTCTGCTAACCTCAAAAATTTGTGCTAAAATTAACTCAATCTATCGACAAAAGTTCGTATACTTTTGACTGGCGTTTTAGAGACGTCTGCTATTTTTTAAGTGTCAAGAATATAGAAAAGCTAACAAGCCTACAAAAGAGGCATGCACAATTTGAATTAACATAATAAACAGTGAAATGAACAAAACAATAATAAAGGAACTACCCACCTATTTTAAACAAACAAAAAATAATAAGCAAGGTATGCAGATGCATATTCTAAGTAGGTATTTTAGAAAAAGTTTCGAATTAACAATGTACTACAAAAGCTTATAGGTGATTGTATAGTGAGGAATCAACCCGAAGGATGGGCTAGAGCCAAAACATTTAACAATGAGCATTGAGCAGGCAATTGAGAACACTGCAGCAAAAGTCGATTATAGTCGTTTCCAAAAAAATTCGGCTAGGATGAACAAATCAGGTTCTCATAGCTCAATGAAAAGTAATTGGAACATAACTTTCATGTCAATGTCATTTGCCCGAAAATTTTTGGAAACGACGGTACTAGCAGTATAAATCATCAGTATAATTCCAAAAATCTTTCTACTAACGGGTTTATTGGTGACCGTTTATTCTTTCATACAATCGTTTTTTCGGCAACAAATATTATTTGAATTCGTTTCATCAATAAGTTAATATAACATTGGAGAGAATTATTGAATTTTTTTTAGTTAAAATATACTAATTTATATATTGAAGGATAAAAAATGATTACTTAATTGCAGTAAAATTTGGAAACAGGATGGATTTCTGCGATGAAAATTACGATGATCAGGAGAACCTAACTCCCCCTGAAATTGTAGAAAGAGTCACACATATCATATCAACAACCGTCTTCAAGCACCAATTTTCAAAATTGTAGTAACCTTACCATAAACTTTAATTAAAAAAGTAAAGATTAACTCTGCGTTTTTTGTGGTCGTCGGAAAAATATCGTGTACAACACGTGTTGAAAATTCGATTTAACACTCGTTCGCTTAAGTCACTCGCCTACGGCTCCTGGCTCAATTCTGCGGACTCGTGTGGACTCTTCGATTTCCAACACTTGTTATACAATATACTATTTATACACCCACTTACTCGCGCCAAAATGGCCGCGCCAAATAGTCCCTTTCCGGCTAGAAATAACTAACAGCAATTTTTTTGTCATTCAGATGTATTCTTGTAACTACTAAAACTTAACGGTTGGCTGCCTTTTAAGAGGTGGCGCGAAATTTTTAAAATGCCAAAAATATTTGTCACATTATTTAGGGTTTTTGCTGGTACGGGTGCAGTGCAAAGACTTTTACAATAAGCACATATCATCAAGATAGTTCGTAATTTATGGCTGGAAGCCATACTGCCGTGCACTTCAAACAGCCTGGTGGCTCGAGCAACTAAGAATTGAAAAGGTCGAGTTGCGAAAGAACGAAAAAAATGGCAGTTGACTCGTAAACGAGACAACAATTTGGATGGAAACGAGAGGTGCAGGTTGGAGTGCCAAGACTTGCTCAGACATTATAAAAAGGCCACCAAGGAGACAAAGGTCTTATGGTGGAGAAATTTTGTCTGGTTTGTTGGCAGTGCAGATCCGTGGGGTGCAGTTTATAAGCTCTGTCGGCGTGAGAAGAACGAAGGATGGAGGTATGGGACGGTGATAGAAAAAGGGAAACTTGGACGGATACGGTGGAGGTATTTTTGAGAGAGTTTTTCCCAGCTGACGTTCGCGTGAACTATGAATTGTATTGTTACGAAATACACCCTTACGCCGCCCCAGTACGACGCCTATGGCGGTCGAGAGCCTTCTGGACGTACGCACGGCGCTGATGGGTGAATCATCGCTGTTGACGGCCGAGAGGCGGGCGCATAAAGACAGGTCTGGAGCGTCTCGAAGCGGCGTCCAGGGGAGTCTCGAAGCGGAGTCGCGATGGATGTTCGTGAAGGATCTCGATCAGAGACTATGGGTTTAAATAGAGGCGACCGTAGGTAATGGATTCATTCATCCAGTGAAGACAGTCGAGAGCGCCGGAATAATTTCTGTACATATTCGTCGCAATAGATAGTGTTGTAATTCGACCTGAGGAAATAAATTTTTTTAGTTTTACCAACACCCGATTTATTATTCGTCCGTCAATCGTAACACTGGTGTCAGAAGTGGGATTAATTGTGAAATAAATCGGGATTCGAATTTGGTTGGTGCTACTAGGGGAGACCGGAACAAAGTGAACTTTCGAGAAAATTCTCTCCCGCGGTAAGAGTGGAATAACGGAATTAGACTTTCATCACCTGACATTGGCTTCGAGAATTGACATCTGTCAAGGCTCTAGAAGTTTCTAGAAGAAAATTTTATGCCGACTACCACAAGAGCGCAAACAGCCAACATGGAGGAACAACTGACAAAAATGATGAAAATGTTGAGCGAAAATCAAAGAATAATGGAAGAAAGTAGAAAAGAAGATCGAAGAATAATGGAAGAAAATAGAGAAGAAGATCGCAAAATAATGGAAGAAAATCAAAGAATAATGGAAGAAAGTAGAAAAGAAGAGCGAAGAATAATGGAAGAAAATCTAAAAGCTATGCAAACTACACTTTGGAACAGCCGAAGCGAAATCCTCCAAGTCGTGCGAAATGAAGTGGACGAGGTGAGAAATGAAATGGAAAACAAGATCAAGGAGCTCGAAGAAAGGTTGCAAACACCACGACCTACAATTGCGACCCCTGCAGAATTCAGTCCGGTGAGAGTTCAACCCCCTATTTTCGATGAGCAAACGTCGTGGACTACTTATAAGAAGCAATTTGAAGCTGCGGCCTTGTCGAATAGCTGGAATGACCAACAGAAAGCGACCGCTTTGGTAGTAGCACTACGAGGTGCGGCCCTGGAGATTCTACAGACATTATCAGAAGAGAACCAGAAGGACTATACCGCTTTGACGACCGCCCTCGAACTCAGATTTGGAGATGAACACCTCCGGCAAGTTTTCGTAGCGCAGCTTAAATCTAGGATTCAGAAGAGTACTGAATCTCTTCAGGAGTTTGCGGCTGATGTTAAACGTTTGGTACACCTCGCCTATCCTGAAGCTCCGCAAGACTTCCAAGACAGACTGGCAGCAGAAACCTTCGTAAACGGCGTAAGAGATAGTGAGGTAAGAAGAGTCCTGCAAATCTCCGGGTTCAAGAAACCATCCGAGGCGCTGATTCGTGCGTTAGAAGTGGACGCCGCATACAACAGCTCACCTCGTTCCGACGTTAAGATACGAGGCATCGGGGTTGAGGGCGAAGTAAACCCTATTCAAGAGAGTCTCGACAAAATGAGCGAGAACTTTGAGAAATTCGCCCGCGAAATAATTGCCGAAATCAAGACGGGCAGTTCTAGACAACATGGAGGGCGCCTAGAATGTTACAGGTGTGGGCGTCAAGGGCATGTTAGGAGGGATTGCCGTGTTAGATCGCCAGGGCCGATGAGAAGATCGCAGCCGCGACCTCGTCTACATCAGGAGCAGGAAAACTAAAGGCAGTCGGTACCTCGGGGCGCGTACTGGCTGCTAAAAGAGAAGCCCCAACAACTGTAATGGTTAGAAGTATCGCGGGGAGCGTCGATAGTCCGACAATCAGCGGAAAAATCAATGGACGGGAATCGAAGATCATCATCGACACAGGAGCCGAAGTGTCCCTTGCACGCAGATCCAGGTTACAAAATTGTCAGATTAAATCAGTATGTACCGCCACGAATGTGAAGACGGTCACGGGAGAAACAACACCGGTTCTGGGTACAGCGGTGGTGAATGTAGAGCTCGGTCGACTCCGAATAAGGCATGAAGTTCTGGTGGCGGAAATCGCTGACGATTTCATTCTGGGAATGGACCTAATCAGCCGGTATGGTTTAATGATCGATCCAGAACAGAAAATTCTGCGTTTTGGAGCCGAAGAATTTGTGCTGGGACGTCCGAATGTGGAAGCTGCAACGGTCAGACTAGTGGTCTGTCAGGCAACGAAGGTAGATGGTAATGCAGAAGTCATCGTTCCCGCCAGAGTAGAGACAAACCCCGGATACAGTTTGGGGATGGTGCAGCCGGCAAGTGACTCGACCCACAAGCTCCTGATCGCGAGCACCCTAGTCAAAACCGACCGTGACATACCCATACGTGTGGCAAACGTGTTTCCCAATGCAGTCAATATTAGAAAAGGGGAGATTATTGGAATGTGTGAGCCAGTCGCCCGAGTGTTGAACTGCGAGGAAGAAGACGTTGAGAATGAGTCTAAGGACGGGGATACCAAAGGCTTGGAGGTCAACTGGGACCAGCTGTCTGCTCGTGAGAGAAAACTGGCCAAAGGACTCATTCGTAGGCACCGTAATGTCTTCGCCTCAGAGGAGGAACCATTCGGGAAGACCAACATCGTAGAACACCGAATAAACACTGGTGACACGCAACCGATCCGTCAGGCTCCTCGAAGACTACCCCTAGCCAAACAAGAAGAAGCTACAAGACTCGTGGACAACATGTTGAGAGATGGGGTAATCGAAGAATCCAACAGCGCGTGGTCATCTCCAGTAGTCTTGGTTACCAAGAAGGACGGGACTACCCGATTTTGCGTCGATTACAGGAAACTGAACGACGTCACGAAGAAAGACAGTTACCCCCTTCCTCGAATAGACGATACCTTGACGACCTTATCCGGCTCGGCGTGGTTTTCGACCTTGGACTTGAAGAGTGGCTACTGGCAAGTAGGCTTGCACCCGGACGACAAAGAAAAGACTGCGTTCTCCACCGGAAGTGGCCTCTATCACTTCACCGTTATGCCCTTCGGATTATGTAATGCGCCAGCAACATTCGAGCGGCTGATGGAGATGGTGCTGAAAGGATTGACATGGAAGACCTGTCTGGTATACCTCGACGACGTCATGATTATGGGCAAAACGTTTGACGACCATCTGAAGAATCTCGAGGAGGTGCTAGAACGAATGGAAAACGCTCGTTTGAAACTAAATCCCAAGAAATGCTCACTCTTCCAGAAACGAGTCGAGTTCCTGGGCCATATCGTGTCGGAGAAAGGAATAGAAACCAACCCGACGAAAGTTCTTGCTATCCGGGATTGGCCCATACCAAGAGACAAGCATGAACTACGAAGCTTCTTGGGACTCTGCACATATTACCGACGATTTGTAGAAGGGTATGCAGACATCGCAGCACCGTTACACCAACTGACGGAGCAGAAGGCGACTTTCAAGTGGAGCAGTACATGTGAGATGGCCTTTAAGAGACTGAAGACGGCTTTGTGCACCAGCCCCATTTTGGCTTACCCCAGGGACAAAGGAATGTTCGTCCTCGATACCGATGCGAGTAACTCGGGAGTTGGGGCCGTATTGTCGCAGATACAAGATGGGGAGGAAAGGGTTATCGAATATTTTAGTAAATTACATTCCAAACCAGAGAGAAATTACTGTGCCACGAGGAAGGAACTGCTAGCCATTGTCAAAGCCGTCAACCACTTCCACAAGTATCTATACGGACAGGAGTTTCTGATCAGGACCGACCACGCTGCCCTCTCGTGGCTACTGCGGATAAAGAATCCCGAGGGCCAAGTAGCGCGTTGGCTGGAAAGACTACAGCAGTACCACTTTAGGATCAAACACCGAGCGGGTCGACTTCACAACAACGCTGACGCTTTGTCAAGGCGTCCGTGTGGAGAGTGCAAGCACTGCGACAGGATCGACGCGGAAGAAGGGAACCTGCCCGTTCGTCGGACGATTTTTGAGCAAGATGAAGAATGGACAACGGCGCGGTTAAAGCGTGAGCAAGAAGCAGACGACATAATCGGATCCAACGTGGACCAAAGACGGAGATGAAGATCGTTCATCTCGATCGACTAAAACGGTACGAAGGAAACAACGAAGACGCTTCCGATCGGGACGATCGGATTTGAAGAGGGGGGCAGTGTTACGAAATACACCCTTACGCCGCCCCAGTACGACGCCTATGGCGGTCGAGAGCCTTCTGGACGTACGCACGGCGCTGATGGGTGAATCATCGCTGTTGACGGCCGAGAGGCGGGCGCATAAAGACAGGTCTGGAGCGTCTCGAAGCGGCGTCCAGGGGAGTCTCGAAGCGGAGTCGCGATGGATGTTCGTGAAGGATCTCGATCAGAGACTATGGGTTTAAATAGAGGCGACCGTAGGTAATGGATTCATTCATCCAGTGAAGACAGTCGAGAGCGCCGGAATAATTTCTGTACATATTCGTCGCAATAGATAGTGTTGTAATTCGACCTGAGGAAATAAATTTTTTGAGTTTTACCAACACCCGATTTATTATTCGTCCGTCAATCGTAACAGTATTGTGCAGGGTGTCGTGGAGAGAGTGAATTATGATGAGGTTAAAAGGAGCGTCAGGAGTATGAGGAAGAAGAAGTCGCCGGGATTAGATGTTGTGACGCCCAAAATGATGGCGGTTGTATGGGGGAAGGATCGATTCCGGACGAATGGAAGGTTGCGCGACTGGTCATCCTCTTGAAGGGCATGAATAAGGATAGGTCATTATGGAGGACGTATAGACCTATCTGCCTTTTGAGTGTGATGGGAAAAGTGTTTGATAGAGTGCTGATGGGGAGATTGGCGAGGATACTTGAAAGAAGAAGGGCGAGGGCTCAGTTCTGATTCATAAAAGGATTGAGAATACAGGATGCGTGTATAAGAGTGCAACAGGTGGTGTGGTCGGGAAAGAAGTACGTTTTGGGAATATTTGTTGTTTTGAAAGGAGCGTTTGACAATCTGAGCTGGAATGCGGTGTTGAGTAAATTGATGGCAGTTGGGTGTAAGGAGATCAAAGTTTGGGCGAGTTATTTTAGAGATCGGAAAGTCTGCGTGGTAGAAGGGGTAAATGAGGGGGAAAGGAAGATGTGTAGAGGATGTCCACAAGGATATATCTGTGAACGGGCGGTTTGGAACATGATGATGGATGAGTTGCTGGAAGAGATTGGAAGGAGGGGGATATCGTGTGTGGCGTATGCGTATGATCGGTTGTGTATGATTGAGGCGGATAATAGGAGGGAGATTGAAGATGTGGGAACGTAAGTGATGGAAATGGTGGTTGCTTGGGGGAATGAAGTGGGTGTCGAGATGTCCAGGGAGAAAACGGTTATGATGCTTCTGAAGGGATCGTTGTCTGACTCGAAACCGCCGAATGTGACGGATAAGCGTGTGACGTATGTGAAAGAGGTGAAGTATTTGGGTATAAGAGTTAGTGAGCGTATGAATATTAGGTCGCAAGTCGAGAGTCTGGCAGGTAGGATGATCGGAATGATCTGGAAATTGAGGCGTGCATTGAGGAAAGAATGGGGTCTAGATAAACGAACGGTACGTGTGATACAGAAAGAATTGGTGGTTGCGTGTGTTTCGTTTGGTGCGGGGGTATGGTGTGATGTGTTGAGGTTTGGGTATGCGAGGGAGTTGGTGAACACGAGTCAAAGGAGCGTGTTACAGAATACACAACCTCTTCGTTCACGACAGCCCCATTGCGATAACAAGGCATAACAATGAAAGTGTCTTGTTCAACAGAATAAACCATTTTCCTGGTCTTCGCGTCTTAGAGCTTATTTGAAATCAGAAGTACACAGCAATAAAAGAGCGCAGATACCAGTATTTGAAACACTATTCAGTGCGCACGAGCACTACTTTCACAGGATCAGCGGCGTCGAGAACGAACTTCCTTTACTCTTTGGACCTGTTTTGTATGTTCTGGTGCTAACACGTGCAACGTGCAAATCCCAATAACAACACGAAGGGTCCGCCACTGACTCGTCCATATTCTTCGCCCATCTTCGCTCTTCGCGCATTCATCCCTCCCACCCGATGTACTTCTGATTTCAAATAAGCTCTAGCACAAAACAAAATTTTCGTACGCAAGCACCAAATATTTGGAAAACAACTATTTTGTTGTTTTGAACGTCAATCAATGAGAATTACTGTAATTCACATTTGAAAAACGTTGCAATAATAAAAACGATGACTTTAAATGACAGGTTATAAATGACATTAATAACAAGTGAGAACTGCCATGATGAGGTATAATTTCAGCGAATCGGGATTTTTGACATCCATGGCCAACTACACCCTTAGAATCACATATAAAACCCCTATACCTATAAAGCTCTTGACCAGATTTTTGATTAGATGTCCGATTGGATGTTCATATAGTTGTGTTCTTATTGTGTGCACTAAATCTAATCATCGTTGGTACCTCCTCAAACGACAAAATTTTAAATATTTGTTATTTTTATAGTGGCTAACTTGGTTGTTACATATAACGGGTGATCAATATACAATATATGTACTCGACTCAGCGGATAGATTGGTACTGATATGTCAAATCAAATGATAAATGTAAACTCAAAAATGGTGAGTATAAAGGTAGAGTTTCAAGATGCGCCATTTTATTATCCTGATGATATTCTTAAACAAAAACTGGTCGTAAATGCTACAAGGGCTGTTTGAGAAGTGTAGTGAATTTGCATGACGTGGTGTGACAATCCGCTAAATCGGATTGCAGTTATTAAGGGTGATCCTTTAGAGGACCTGTTGCTAAATCTTAGGCTTGTAGAATGTGAGGTTTAAGTGTGGCACCCGTTAGGTGATTACTTCTCTTTTTTTTACAAAAATTAAGAAAAAAACGAGTTTCATGCGGTGATAAAATATTTTATTTAAAGAAGTAGACGACGGTGGAGATTAAAGCCGAGTGGGATAAAGTTCACGGGGAGTCTGCACCAGCATCGAATTGACAAAATCCATGTACTGTAACGGAATATTGGTGAGTGAAAGTAAGAGCGATTGCTGAGATTGCGGACATTTCAACAAAAGGAGTGTATAATATTTTGCACTAAGAATTTGACAAAGTTTGGTGAAAGTGCCCCAAGGAAGGCGGAAGCAGTTTTAATCGCTAGTAAGGATTAACTACTGTTTTTGACACGCTCAAGGAATAACATGATTTCACTGTTTGGAAAAGAACCGTAACAGGAACTTATTATGCGGCATTTTTGAACCGTTTGGAAGTTGTACTGAAGGAATAACGACCAAGATTGGCGCATAAAAATCTGCTTTTCAATCAGGAGAACATGCCACCTCACAAATCAACAGTTACAATGGCAAAACTGTACAAAATGGGCTTTGAATTGATCCCTCATGTACCTTATTTTTCGGACTTTTACCAATTTAAAAATTTGACCTGGAAGGAAGAAATTTTCATCGAATAAAATGGTCATTGAAACCGTAAATGAGTATTTTGCAGACTTTGAAAAAATATACTTGGTTGACGGAATGAAGAAATTGAAAAAAAAGTGGAACAAGTGCACAGCTCTCAAAGAAGATTATGTTGAAAAATAAAAGTAAAAAAAATGTGCTTGAATTGTTTTTTTACCACACTTATATTACAATTTCATTAAAGGTGCTCTTATTTTAGACACCACAATTATCCACAGCATTTAAAGTACATTTGCACTGTCATGGATGACTCGATTATAAATAATATTGATCACACGTTGCTTTATTTAAGCTAAGTGTAAAGAGATTTTAACAGAACTTACTGATACATGGAGCAATGTGAGAGCGACTTTGTTGATATCCTTTGGCACATCGATTGCAAGTCGTACCTACTACTCCATCTTTACATGGACATTGGCCTGTAGCTTGATTACATGTTCTTCCTGAGGACCCAATAGGATGACAATCGCAAGCTGAAAGAAAAAAACAATTATCTACACAAGGCACGAACCACATTTTTCAACCTTTGTTCAATCTCATATGAAAATGATTCTTGCCTTTAAGCAAAATTAGTGGAAACATTTTCAAGTTTTCCTACGTTCTATTTTAACTTGAACATCAAAACCTGGCCCCTAGATCAATTTTGGATTTCGGTAGCATCCAAAGTTTCTCAGAATTGTTTAATAATAAATAATACAGCAAAGAAATTTCCCTCATTTATATTAATAAATATTAAATTTTAAGAAAATTTCAATTTTTTCCTTGATGGTTATCTATAATAAAAATGTTTGTCCTGACTTATTGACTGACAAACTAATCAACGCAGAGACTATACTACTGAAGCTAGAAACATGAAAATTTGGACAGTAGGTTTCTTTTGCAATATAAGCACCGACTCAGAAGTAAGTTTTGGAAATTCCATCTCAAGGCGGTAATTAGGAAATGAAAGTTCGCAAGCGGAGCTACACCTACTAGTCTATAATGTGAGTGTAATTTAAAGTACTTAAAATTGACAACATTTTTTTTTTTTATTTTAAACGAATCAATAATTGTCAAAATTTAAAAGTTTTTTTAGAAATATCATTTTTCGTAAGCTTTTTGGACAGTCGGATCATTTTGACCACAGTTAGCATTAAGGAGACTAGATCAGAATAATGTAGGTCATTTGTCAGGTGTTAGCACCCGCTCGAAGCTCGTGGATTGAAGGATAATTACTGGGTGCTTATTCGCGAAATCACACAATCTAACCATTCTCACAAAGGATAGATCGTTCATATCATACGGTTTTCTCTCGATGTAAATAGAATTTGTATTCTCGAATGACAAAAGAAGAAAGATTCTCCTAGGAAGAATATCTCCAATGTTGTCGCTTTTCAAGAGAAGACATCAATCAGCCAATAAAAATACTGCAATCACCGATGTCACCAAAAACATTATCACACTCAGCTTCGCCTCGTGTGCTAAACTGTTTTTTCGTTGGATAAAATTCACTTTTATTCACTTATACCATAAATAGTTATTAGACCACAAGTAGACTGGAAACTAAAATATTGCGAATAACTAGTATTCGCAAAAGCATATTTTGAGTGAGTTTGTTATTGATTATACAGGGTGTTTTTGAAACACACGTACAAAGAAAAATCGGTATTTTTCATCACCAACAATGCAAGAGGCCAGATCCGGCCAAAATATTATTTCGTCATTGGTACTGCTTTATAAAACTTTGCGGTTTTTGTTAATATTTTTGTGTGTATGCTGTTATTTACAGATTCACTTCTCACACGCTCTGCATCATTCCAGCTTCGGAACACTAAACCAATGAAATAAATAAATTCTATTCTTGCTGTATTTTGTTTTGAAATTTTTCCCAAAACTTTCGTGACATTATGATGTTACTTAGCTCTCCTGAACACAATTTGGAAAAATGAAAGCTTCCACAGACCACAAATGTAGACTTAATTAACTGCCAATTTCGTAATGCATGAATCAAGGAGACCTCGAAGAAGACACGGGGCATCGCTGTTTTCAATTTCTCCATAAAAATTCCAGACCAACTGAAAATGTTCACAGTAAGTTTATTCTACCAGAAAAGCATAAGATAATTATCAGATTTTCCACTACAAATTTTTTAACTGTTAGCGCTTTGCTGTTTTCCTCAGGCAATCCTACTCGCTAATACACACTTTTTATTTTCCCAATTTCGGATTATTCCACAATATTGCCCATCTTGTTTTATGAGGAAAGACAGAAAGATACATTGGACTTACAATTTACATTTTTGTACCACAAGAAAGGTTCTTTGTCATTTTGTGATCGCTCTGATTTTACAAACGTAAATTAATTACGTTTTTTAGCACTTACCATTTATTTGCCAGTGATGCAGAAAAGGCAAAGATAGAGGTCAGTTTTTCCTTATATCATTTTGACTATAAAACCAAGGTTTGTTTCAAACCTTAGAGTTCACAGAACACTCCCACTTTTTTTGTCTGTGCATTTCAGTGACACCCTGTATTGTTTTTGACAGTATATAATTATAGAAATAAAAGTGTATTAACAATACATCATAACTAAAAGCTAGTAAAACCAGCCCAACGACCGAAAACCGCGACTTCGAATTACGCTTACAGTTTTTTTTGTGCATCACGCACATTATTTACTTTATTTATTCCTAAAATAAGGTGTACCTGTACATTTTGTTACAGTTACCTTAAATTGGGTATTCTACCTCAAAACTAAAAAAAACTTTGCTTTATTTTAGAAAAATGATCAAGTAACTCTTGTAAATCATAAAATGACAAGAAAATGTTATCGATAATAATCATAAAAAAATCCCGTTAGGCTTTGGTGGCAATTTTTGGTCTCTGACCGTTTAAGGCATATTGAAAACCAGTGATGTAGGCTGGACGTACAAAAAATATTTTCCTGACAATGTGAAAAAAAGTTTCTCAGAATTCGTCTTTAAAAAAGGAAATTCTCCTATAATAATCAAATATAGATCAATTTCAGAAATATGTAATTTGTAAAATCTCATTTGTCTAACACGGTTTTGTCAGTTAATACAAACTTTTTTTTGTTTTTATTCGTAATAATATTGTAATGTATGCACGCTTACTTAGAGGCCATTTTAATAGAAAATTTCAAGTTACTGAATTGTAATATCTATTAAAATGGGACTGGAAAAACAAATCATCTAATGTAAGTTTATTATTAATTAAAAATAAAAGTTCAGAGAAATTAAAATAAAAAAACAATGAATGTTTAAAGTAGGATATTAAATATCGCTACTTCTAAAAATCACCAAAATCTTCCTCTTAACAAATGTTAAATATCCATCACAGCTAGCACACTACGTATTTCACGTCCACACCTGGATTTATAAATTATGCTTGCACACGTACAGCATCTGAATATTAAACTACTAAAGTCGCATTATGGATTTATAATGTTAGGCAAGTTAAGTAAAAGAAATACAGCAAATGTTGATTTTCAGTGACAACAGTGTTAAAATAATTTCCACTGGTATTCTTAGACCAGTTTAAGATTAAAAATATTTTTTTACACACACAATAAGCACAATTAAAAAAAAATCCCAGGTACAAATCTTGCACAAAGCTAAGATTCATCGCTCGCAACTGTAGGTAGTGATTAAAAATACAATTTTGTTTACAATTCAAAATTATTGACAATTACAAAAAAAAAACATAAATCTATTTATTCAAATGTTCCTAAACATTTTTGAAATAAATATGTCAATTTCTGGTAAGTGCATTGTAACAATAAATGTAACGCAAACTATGTTCTTAGAGTATGAAGGAAATGAAATTATCTTTTTCCAAGATCATCGACAATTATTAGTTCTAGAAAATAAAAAAATATTGTCGACGTACAAAAACGGACACATTTTACTCCAAACTTTTTAGTAAAAATAGATTTTAAACATTTTTGAAAACACATCATGGATATTTGGTGGGAATAAATATATTAATTTGATACCATTTTGAGCTTATCACAACGTCACCGCATTTTCAAAATTTGAAGAAAATTAGATAAATCGTTTTTGAGACAATTCTTTCAATATAGGTATACCTTTATTTGATAAAAAAGGTTTATTTAATAATTTTCTAAAATCATATCATGCATTTTCTGAAGGGGCGAATAAATATATTTTAATGTTCTTCAGTAAAGGCGGCCACACACACAGAGGGAAGACTGTGCAATCAAAAGTGTGCACGCTTGTCTCAAGTTATTAAACCCGTATTCTCTAAACGGCGCAACTGAATTTAAACTCAAGCGTGCAGGAATTTGTGTTCACACACTGAGTTTTCCCCGTGCAGTTATAACTGTGCACGCTAAAAATCAAGCAATAGATTTGACTGCACATGCCACATTCTTCCCCACACACTAGAAGTTTTAACTGTACCCCGTGGCACGTACATTCAAGTCTTGATTATTCCCTTTGTGTGTGTGGCCGCCTTAATACCAAATTTTATGTAAAGACATTTTCCGGAAATCGTCATAGAAACAACATTTTCCTGCGTATCTAGGCGCAGGAAAATGGAATTTTCTGGACTAGTACTGTAAAGACTTCACAAGACGCAAAATAAAAACGATACTTTAAAAAAGAACAATTTATTCAAAGCTATTAATTAGAAATATTAACATGAATTGTGGAACTTGTTATGTTTGAAATATTGATTCCCGATATTGAGCTTCAAATTTCCAGTAAAAGTCCCAGTCGAAATTTTAACATAGAATACATGCTCCAAAGACTTGAGGGTTTCTGCAAACTTGCTTTTTCCGCAAAATACGTGAGAAATATTTCTTCGGTACCTAAGTGAAGTGACTTTGTTCTTGACGCCAATCTTCGAAAATTTGGAATGTCTCTTCATGGTAATAGATCGTCAGTAGCAGTAGCCGCAGTTTCATTCACATCAAATGGAATGTCCTCACAATGATTTTCGTCTTCTTTTATCATTATTTTATGAGTTAACACTGTTTTCACAATACACGCACAAAATTGATAACATTTTTATTTGTTCCTCACTTGTAAACATCAATTTACCAAGTCAATGTATTCAACATGAAAATGTCACTTAACTGGCTATAGCCTGTAAAAAATGTTACTGGCTAGTCAGTAAAATTTTTACAGCCCTGCTCGTGCTCATACAACCATGTATTTTAAACATTTTAAACTATTATAAGTTGAAATGACAGCCAAAATTGATTCAGGTAAATTTTCACTCACAATTGCTTTTGTTTACTTTGTAACTATAGTTGTCAACATAATTCACAAACTTGATTTTTGTGGAATTTGTAAAAAAATTTTCTAAAATTTGTAAATTTCGTCTTTTGTTAACGATTTCCGGAAAAATGTAATACAAAACACGTCAGTAAAATCTCTTACTTGATTCGGAGCTTTAAAATACTCGGCACAAAGTGCCTCGTATTTCAATTTAGCTCCTCGTCTCGTCTC